TGTGTTATTTATTTTATTAAGGATAATTAACTGCATGAAAAAATATTCAACACAAGCGCAGCTATTTTGCACGATTTAACCTTCACTGGGTTCGCGGAGTAGCAAATTAAATTACTTCCATTTTGATCAAATGTGTTTTGTTTTCAATAATCAATCACCCACCATCTTTGATCAGTAAATCTTAATAACCCGAATAAACAGATACTGAGTTCAGACTCTACACTTTTGTTAAACGATTTACGCAACATGCACAATCGGGTATGCATGACGTACTATTCCTTATTTGTACGAGTACGTGAGGGGCACCCTGAGCAGCAGCCGGTACCCTACGTCGATTGGCAAATCCTTTCACCACGATAGCAAATATTGCAATCTATGCAGCAAGAAGAAAATTAAACGTTCATAAAGGTATTTCGTTTCGCTAAAAACTTCAGCAAAACATTATCTTAAATTAATAAGTATCATATACGATTTACGTGAGCATACACTCAACCACGCCTGTCTCCCACTGGGTTAGGTTACAGATCATAAATCTCTACTTGCTGCGCTCCTGAAAAACCATTATCACCTCCTTCAATCGCGTCAGTTTCTTCATAGGTGCCTTATTTTTCTGTGTACCTTTAACCTGAACTTTTTAAAGACATCCCCAATTTGATCGAGACATGTGCATCGAGGTCTACCTCTTCCCACGTTTATAAATCTACTAACATCCATCCTTTCATGTAAAAAGGATGACCACATAATCTTTCACCATACGACTCTTATTACTCTGTTCGACATTCTTTAAAACTAAGGGTGTCTTCAAATTTGACCCTTAATTGAAGCTCTGCAGTATCGCGTCTGTGGCGCGCAGTCCGCTTCTTTATTAATTTGCATACAATTTAGTCCAAAAAATGGCGCAGGCATTACACGCACGAGAGTGGGGCTGCAGCTGCGCTTATATTTAGAAGTATGTATATGAAAATTTCGTAGTGGCGCGCCTGCAGCGCCATAATGGCGCCCCTGTAGCGCTTTATAAGCAGTTTACCACGCGGTAATTTTAATACCCACAGCGGTAGCGAATATCGGTTCTATCTGAATATAATAATAATAATAACGCACACACTCAACATAGCCCCGCACTAGGGAAACCCTGTGTCGCGGGTGCCATGGACACACACATAGACAACCACAAATTACATCCAAACTCACGAGAGAAATAATTGTAGGCCATACAACTATTTCTCCCGGCCCGGGAATCGAACCTGGGACCTCTGCGTGGCAGTCCGGCATGGTAACCATTAGGCCACGGAGGCAGTTATATATACATTAACTTTTAGATGTTACTACCTTAACGGCACACTATCCATTTGCTTTGTACGTGCGCGCGAAAGTTCCTTATTTTCAGGATCCCATTCGTAATCTCTTACTTTATCGTACCAATCTTCACTAAACCAGTCTCTGTAAGACTTCAGCTGAAAAAAAACATACAGTATTAACTAACCAATTATTAGGCACAGCAATATGCATTGAATTAAATCAGTTTAAGTAGGTTGTACATGAGTACCTAGGTGTTTGTATACTGAAATAAATGTTGCAATTATTATAAATCGTTTTTAACCCACTTCAAAATGGCGTAGATTCTCTATTCGACTGTATTCTTTTTGTGTGTAAGTTACGCGATTTCTCCAGCGTTTGTGAACCGATTTTGATGATTCTCTTTTTCTTGGAAAGAGGGTACCTCATTATCAGTCCCATTTAAATTTGAAGAAAATATTCCACCTATAAGTGTGGCAAATTACTATATGAATCCGGTTACGCGCTCTTTCCGAGGACTGATTTCATTAAAACTTGGCAAATAGGTGGAATTCCAAGAACTTTTGATGTCGGTTTTTTTTAAGTTATTATTCCTGTTTTTTTCTTTCTAGGACTGTTCCGCCCATGTGGCATACTATATTTTTCATCACACTTGCGAGGAAGTTAAAAGAAGGTTAAGTTGGAAGGAAGGAACGTTATACCATAAACATACTAATTTATTATATTTACAAAATTTGAAATATCTCAGAAAGTCTTCTCTAAAGAATAATCATTTATTTTTGAGAATTAAAACTTTTTGCATTGACTTTACGTATGAATGAAACAAAAATCTTTTAAATTTATATTTTCTCTAGTGTCTATGACTATTGACTAGTATTAAACGAAGTAACGCTGACTGTATTCATATAAGTTTTAATAAATAAAATTAAAAATCCAGCGATTTTGGGGTCGCGACAGTGAGCATAATAGTTATAATATCATTGGCGGCATTAATTTGGCGCTAAGTGGTAACAATGGCCGAGCCGGCAGTTCGCCCGCGTTCGACAGGAGGAGCGAAGGAATAGAAAAAAACCGTTACCGGCCGTATGACAGTAATACCGACTATTGCTGCAAAATATACTATCATACGAGCAAGTGTGATGAAAACAATAATTTAAAATAAATTTGCAATTATTATTGATACAGAAGTCGAACAAACACAAAGAATCGATATTCGATCAGACCTAAGTTATTGATCGATCGAATCGATACGGCTGGAATCGATCGCGACTCAGTTGGGAGAGCGATAGCCCCGTGTGGCGAGATACGCTGGTTCGGAACCAGCCGGATCGAGGGAAATTTTCTTTGTTTGATCTTTGCATAAATAATAACAACAAACTATTGGTGAAGTATGTTCACAAAAAATATATGAATATCATAGTAGAAAACATCATGATATTCTATAAAATAAACATAAGCAATATTAGAAAACGTGCTGAAATTACCCCACAGCACCTCATGTACCACTGCAGACTATCGATAAAACGTTTGTGTTTTGGTGCAACTCTATAAAGCTTCATGCTAGTTCTAATAGACGATTCGCACACACATCTGCCAATGGCAATTTTCTGGAAACACAACACTATGCCGCAAAAGTTGATGATCACGCTCCACATTAGACAAATCCAGAGTGGACAACATGCTACTTTGGTGTATGTTCTGCAAAAAAAATGTCTTTAGAACAAATTGTATTTGGAATTAGGGTGGTTTTATTTCATTAAAATATTGTGTTCCCCGTATTTGAAGTGACAAATATGCTTATTATTTATTAGACATGCGCCATATGATGGTTTTTCATGATGATTTAAAAAACACTTTAAAAAATTTGTATTAATTTTCAACGTTTTTTCCACTTTTTCTTGCAATTTACTAAAAAGGTTGAAGAAGGTAAGAAAAGAACAAAAATAAACGCCCTCCATTTAAATCTAGTATAAAAGAATAGGCTGTACGAAGATCGGAAGGCAATCATTTGAATTGTACGGAAATAAGGTATTGAAATGTAAGTATTAAACGATTACAAAAATAACCAACTTTATTAAAATAAACTACTATTTCGCCAACGGTAGCCCTACGGTTTATACTGCGGGCGCTGAATGACGTGGTCCCGGGTTCGATTGCCGGTTGAACCAAATTGGGAAATGAAGTTTTCTGAATTGGTTCTGGTCTGGGTGTTCTGGGAAGTGCCCTAGAATGAATTCTATTGCTCAGCTATTTAAAGTGCAGGGAATTACTTAACGTTGGCCAATTATGGCAAGGCGCATGTCTAGGTAACTCGGAGCCGTGGCAAATATTGTGGGTTCGTTTCTACGACCTAACTGTAACTGGCTATAGACACCAACAGACCAAAGGAATCGTTCCCCTTACATCGAGGCTTTAGCCGAATCTCGTTTTATTTAGTTACAGATGCTTAGGGAAAGATTAAGTAAATAATAGGACTTTATTCATTAAACACACATTTTGCTGGCGAAATTACAGGCACATGAAACTTGTCTACTTATGTCACAGGATGATGGCAGTTTCCCTCAGATCTTTGCGATTTATAACTTTGAATGGCACTGCAGTTGTATGTACAGGCGTGTCGCTTAATACCAGCCACGCGACTTGTTCGCTCCCACTAGGTGTCATAAAACTATCGTATGTATCTTGTGACCATTTTCTATAATGTTTATTATAGAAAATGATCACAAGATACATGTACTTACTAATAAACTATAAACTACTCTGATTCTATTTCCAATATGTTGACGAAAAGGACGAACCATCACCATAGTACTGTTTTACAGTCTCCGCCAGTGTTCTCTGTTAGTCATTATCGGAACGACTACAAAATTCTGAACAGCCTCATATCTTTTGACATTAGTTTTGATTATAAGTTCTTATAAGTTCAGGTTCTGACCCCAGATCCAGAAAGTGTACAGGCTTGTCACAGGCCTCTATCACTGGACTTCATCCGGTTCTCGAGAGCATAGTACCTCGGGTGAGCCGCCCCGGGTGCACGTACAGTAACCACCTTATTTTCCGGATAGGTACCGGAGGATGAAAAGAGTTCATCCAGGGAAGTACTGACACCTTACTTATTTTGCAGCCTTACTGCATTCCGGTTTTGAACGGTACTTAAGGGTGCTGGTGAAATTACAGGCACATGGGACTTGTCAACTTAAGTATCAAAGGTATCAAAGGCTCAGCAGCAGTGCCCTTCAGATCTTTACGATTTAAAGCTCTAATTATATTTAAGTCAACTGTGACAAAAAAAAACGTAAATTTAACATCACAAAACAACTATTACTCAATTTTCTTGTTATATCCAATCACATGCAACATTTGCATACTAGTTGGAAGCAAGATAATTCCCGAAAGTAAGACGTCAGCGTTCACGATATCCGTCCCAGTCATATACAGAAGGTCACCAATAACTGAAATAGTACAAAGAGTAATGAATACAGGTGCCTCACGGTTTTGGGGCGCCTTCAAACTAGACGCTTGTAGAAGCACTACAGTGGCGCCAGTGTTGGGCAAAATTTAATTGTTCTGGCAATTAAAGATTGACAATTAATTAATTGTCAATTGCGAAACAGCAATTAAAGATTGATCAATCGTTAATCGCAAATATCTACAATTAACAATTAATCAATTTTCAATCTTATCAATGTTTTTGATTAACAATTAACAATTAAAACTGACAATTATGATAAATTTATAGGGCATATTGGGGTGAGTTAGGGCGTTGGTTATGGGGACCCGGTTGGGGGCCGGTTTGGGGCCCGGCTGGGGGCCGGTTTGGGGCCCGGCTGGGGGGCCGGTTTGGGGCCCGGCTGGGGGCCCGGTTGGGGTCCCGGTTGGGGTCCCCGGTTATGGGGCCGGTTGGGGTCCCCGGTTGGGTGCCCCGGTAGGCGCCCCGGACGGGGGGCCTGTTGGGATCCGGTTGGGGGCCCGGTTGGGGGGCCCGGTTGGGGGGCCCATTTGGAGGGCCCGGGATGGGGGCCTGGTTGGGCCCCGGTCGGGGGCCCGGTTGGGTCCCGGTTGGGGGGACCCGGTTGGGGGCCCCAGATGGGAGCCCCGGTTGGGGGCCCGGTTGGGGGCCCCGGTTGGGTGGACCCGGCTGGGGCCTCAGTTGGGGGCCCCGGTTGGGGTCCCCGGTTATAGGGCCGGTTGGAGGGCCCGGTTGGGTGCCCCGGTTGGGAACCCAGTTGGGGCCCCAGACGGGGGGCCTGTTGGGATCCGGTTGGGGGCCCCGGTTGGGGGCCCCGATTGCGCGTCGCAATTGATTTAATTGCAATTTACTTCAATTGAATTGATTTTTTAATCTGATTGAATTATTGATTGAAATTTAATTGCGCGACTACTACAAATAGTGGAAATTTTTTCGGAAAAAATTCAGAAAAAAATGAGAATCGAGATTTAAAATGCTTGGATAAAAACGAAAAACACAAGTAAAAAAAATCTTTTTAATGGCTCCATCATTTTCGTTCAGTATCTTCAACTTTTCACAAGTCGACTGTGAACTGGCAATCAGTAGGTACTATCTCAATTTTGACAACTTTACAGATGAAGAAAAATTGTTTGCGTCATTTATAGAGCATTTGATTTATTAAAATAAATACGTTATTTATAAACATTTTTATTACACATACACTACTTATTTTCATTTAATAAACCAGATGCTATTTATATGACGCAAACAATTTTGTTCTTCGTCGTGTAAAGTATGCCAGTTCACAGCCGAGGTGTTGACTGTCAAATGTGGAAAAATGTAGAAAAAATATTCGGAAAAATATTCATTCTTCAAAATGGAATGACCCAACACTAGCCGCGTCTGTAGCGCTTCAGTAATTTTTAATTCACTAAATTGTGACCGTAAAGCGGCGCGTGTGTCACAACAGTGGCGCCAACTTGCAACACTTCTTTAAGCGTCTAATTTGAAAGAACCCTTGCTCTTGCTCAAAAATATTGTAATTGTGCAAAGGCTCATGGCTAGTTTACATGTATTAAATTACGAAGTAATTAACTAAGTTTTAACTACATTTGAACTTAATTTCAAGTAGTCTAACGTTTATAAGTACTTTTGACACTTTCGACTCACGTTGCGCGGGGTACGAACTGCGAGAAGTCGGCTATTTCGTCAAAAAATATGTTATTTTTTAATTGTTTCAATGGATTAAATACAGGTATTTTGATATTAAGCACTAGTATAATGAAAGTATGCATACAAACATGTTACAATGTTACGAAGTGTGCATCTCATGTACACCACTAGGTTTCCAGTTCGTATTATATAGTTTTATACAATAATAGTAATTTATTTAAGCCTTTTACAGATCCTGTGGTATTATCAAACTAGTACAAGGTTATCTGTTTAATTCTAATCTACTTATCTACTATAAATAAGTCGATGATTACTTAACAGCTGTCAAATGATTATTTACGCTTGTAAATATATAAATTAAAATTTTGTTAAGTACTTCGTCTGCATCGCGTGTAAACAAGTCATCGTGCAAAATAGATTCTGATTCTTATCATTTGTGAAATAAAAAAAAAACAATGGATATCGATGTTCAAAACGGGTTCCCTGCTTGAGATCGAATGCCATTTGACCAAAGATTAAATGATCGAAAACGTTTACTCAATCCATTAGACCTATAAATCGTGAACTCTAAGGATGCATCAAAATCCCAAAAGAACGCGTGCTCTAACGGTCAAAAGCCAACATTTTTCTTTACATTTCAAGGTGTGAAAACTCCTCTGAATTCGTAATTAAAAAGTCTTCTGTCAGCTGTCCCACATATTTGTGGAGTCGATTAACAACAGTTTATTGCGATTTCCGTGGAGTACATAGGCATAATAAAATTTATTCATACCTACAGAGTATTTTTTTTAAATAGGACAGTATCGGAAAATCCGAAACCATAATAATGACGCACACATTCAACATAGCCCCTCACAAGGGAAACCCTGTGTCGCGGGTGCTATGGACACACATACAACGACAAATTACACCCGAACTCACGAGAGAAATAAATGTAGGCCTTACATATATTTCTCCCAGCCCGGGAATCGAACCTGGGATCTCTGCGTGGCAGTCCGGCAAGGTTATCGTTCGGCCACGGAGGCAGTTAAACCATAGGAACCATTAAGTCTTTTTTGTGAAACCTTACTACAAAATACAGATCTAAAAAGTATCAAATAGTACCTACATAAACTTAAAAGTTTATTTTTGGTTATTTATTATGTTTTGTAAAAGTCATCGAAAACAGTTGTCGTTTATGATATTAGTATCGATTTTTAGTATTTTACAAATGAATCCGCATACCTTTGCTTTTACAGATTCGTTTATTTAGTTGATTTTTTAAGTTATTATCAATTGTCGGAAAAAGGTGTTCCACATATATCGATACATGTATAAATATAGCTACAAGGAGCGACATAAGAGCGATAAAACCACCAAATATTAATTAATTACTTTTTCCAATTCCGGATGAAAGAAACTCAGTCCTCTCTTTATTCTATTTATGAACATGAATACACAGACACGTAAGAGTGATAACTTTTTTAGTATCACTTTTTACTCAAACTAAGATAATTGTTGATATAATCCACCGAGGCCAGTATCAACAATCATTCTGTGAGGCTCAGGGTTAGTTGGATTATCCTTAGCCACACCGGTCTCCTACAGTTTGAAACCTTCCAGTTTCAATAGACTAGCTGAGTGATTATAGTACAGTAATACCATAACCTATATCCAATATAATCAAAATAAAATTACGCACCCCTCATGGAAGAATGGCATAAGTAAAATTACGTCAAACATGTTTATTGCTCCATTAAGAACAGAAAAATATAACCCACATCCTCTCCAATTGGAAAGGATGTGGGTTAGAAACCTAATGGTGTATATGCGATGCACACTAGGTAACATTGTAACATGTTTGTATGCATACTTTCATTATACTAGTGCTTAATACAAAATACATGTATTCAATCCATTGAAACAATTATAAAATAACGACGAAGAAAGCGAGAATTAATATTTTTTGACGAAGCAGCTGACCTTCAAACATGTTTATTGCTCCATTAAGAACAAAAAAATATAACCCACATCCTCTTTGGAGAGGATGTCACATGGTTTTACGGACAAAACCCACCTCTCATGGACGAATGGCATAAGTGAAATTACGTCAAACATGTTTATTGCTACATTAGATGCAGAAAAATATAACCCACATTCTCTCCAATTGGAGATTGAATACAGAAAAAATATAACCTACATTAATGTCTCATCGAACATTTCCAATTGGAGAGGATGTAGGTTATATTTTTTATACATAAAACCATGTGATTAGCAACTTTACACTGTCTACTACATTCTGATGGCTTCTATATATTTTGCTTGCTTGGTTGGTATTATTACTCAATTAATATGTATAACAAATTTTATTTAATTTTATTTTTAACCGGTTTCGAAAAACGGGAGGTACTCAATTCGTCTGTATTTTTTACGCGATTACTCCGACAATTGTGAACCGATATCGGTGATTCTTTTTTGTTGTAAAAGAGGTGGTACCTCATTAGTTGTCTCATTTAAATTTGAAGAAAATATCTTTAAATTTGTCCTTTTTATTTGTATTTTTATTATTGTTTTGTATTGATTTGTATTTTTGTTTTTGTTGTTTGTTGTGTGTACACAAATGTAATATATAAATATAATTCCAATTAATATAAAGCGTAGCAAAAACGGATAAGTCAACTTTTCAGGTCGGTTTTTTTTTACATTCCCTACATTTGATTATGAAATTCCTCACTATCAAAGCATCAGTCTACGAAAGTTGCGGTCCTGAAGCTGGCTTCCCACGGCGCTTGGTTTCACGGGCGCCAACACCCGCACCGTGGGAAGATGGCTGCCTGTTCGGATCCGTCAAAAGAATACTTCTACCCTAGTGGAGTCAGTAACTTCAAAGGAGCGCGAGCGGCGCAAGGGCTAAGATAGCAGGACCCCGATCCAGAACTCTTCGATATTTTAATCGAATCGTTCTATTGGATATCGTTTTCGAATCGAGGGGCGCTATCCGAGCTATTCAGTTAAACGTTCGACTCGGATTCGGATACAATATCGTTATCCAACAGCGTTTACGGAGTTAATCGGTGAAATAGATTACCTATAAGAAAAATGAAAATTCTATATAATATATGTTTTTAAGACTTTAAAGGCCTAAAATATAGGAAGGCATTAGTCTTCCATTAAAATAAATTAATAAAATTGGACAAAATCCAGACTTTATTTAAAATAATAAGAGATTTCCAAATTCATTCTTGCTTTATAAACAATAGGACATTCGGTAACTTTCATTCGATAACTATGTGTGTTGAATAGCGTTTGTAGCCTTTGCCGGTCGGGAAGTTCGTACGGGTGTGACGTCATTTCGGTTCGGTTCGAATACGACATTTTGACATTCGATTCGGGTGTTGTGTATAAAAATGAAAAGAAATCGTACGATGTCAAATCAAATCGGTCGACAACTGAGTAATTTTAACGTTCTGAATGGACTCCCTGACCTTTAACCGTTCAATTGGTTCTGAGTAGATAAGTGTGAAGAAAAGTGTTAAACTAAACTTTAACCCGTAAAATTCATTATGAGTTCCTTATTGCATCAATAGTGAATGACAATTTAATTACATAAATGCCATTGTTTTATAAGTAAATAAGTCCGCATTTGATCTCCATCTCACCTAATGGAAAGCGACAATGAGGTCGACGATGTAGCATGCACACTTAAACAGTGCCTATTCCTCTCGCCTTGAAAATGCCCAAGTTATAGCGTTCAGGGAACAAGTCTGCAGGCAGGGAATTCCACTCCTTTGCCATTCGCCATATATCATAACCTTTGAAATATTCACAACACAGGCGTGGTAGCCTACGCCTAGTCCCATGATGATGGAACGGGGAAGGCAGAATTAAATTATGCAATTCCATCGTACACTCTCCGTGAATATAATATCCTTTAGAATACTGATAAGCAAGCAACTTTACGGCGGTCTTAAAAAGGCTCTGCAGCTTTGCCTCTACTAAATTCGAGTCACATAAGTATCCAGTGTCTTCAACCATAAAGCTGGCATTCCCTTACACTCTTCAGTTCATAGTGTAGGAAGGCTTTCAAAAGCTATAGATCAGCTAACGACGCGTTCCTATAACATGGTGACGACAGATAATCGTGCAGTTTAAAGTGTCGTAGCTTGTATATTTAAATGATGTTATTCACACATAGAACAACACGATAAACTGTTGCTCACGACTTTTTTAACATTACGAAAACAGACTGTCGTGATAATGGGAAGAGCTAGAACGACAGTCGTTCGACGATAAATAAAACGTCACTGACGACAGATAATGGCAGCTGTAAACGATTCTGTCGTGCAAACGATAAGGCGGCTGCCGTGAACCGATAAATTGTCGTATCGATCTAGTGGGAACAGCTAGACGCGACAGTCGTTCAACGATGAAATAAAGTCCACGACACAATCACAACAGATAGTCGTGATATGGGAACAGGCTAGACGCAACAGTCGTTCAACGATAAATAAAACATTACGACGTAATGGGAACGTGCCCTAAGGGGTCAAGCACCGAGCCATCCGATTGTACAAGTAATTAAAAAGTAAAAAATAAAAGGTACTTACCGAGAAACAAAGTTACGGACCATATAATCGCTAATATAGAAATGAGCCATAGAATACATGCACTCCACACCACGAAAGGGTGGTTGGCATTCCGATGAACCAAATTCATTTATGAACTTAGAAGTAGGTATCAAAACAATAGAGTCATGTGATTCCTATAACTAGACGATTTATTATTACCCTTATCGGCAGCCACCAAGCATGGGCCAGTGTCAGTTTTGGTAAATAAATTATGCGTTGAGAAAAATTACAAAAAAAGTAAAAACAAGACGGAATATCGTTGTTTTATATGCTTTTGACAATACTTGCTTGACTACTCTTTGGCATTACTTCAAGTTGAACTTGACATTGCAAAGTGTAAACAAAGTTTAAAAATAAGCTAGCAGAAATAAGACCTTATTTAGAAGAGTATACTTTTTATTTTTAAAATTCGTATTAAATTTTACAAAACTTTATGAAAATATAATTTTTCAGAATTAACAAATAAACTTTTAACAAATAACATGTGTACATAAATTGGAATAAATGCAATTATAAATTCTTAGTTTTAACAAACAAAAAGCGTAACTAACCAAAATATTGGCTCATAGAAAAAGACACAAAATTATTGCAAAAAAATTTGACAGAAAGAGAAACTAAGAAATGGTATTCAATAATCCACTGCCATATGCACCCTATCTTCTTAACTTCTTAAAGGAGCCCCGTGTGCAGCGGTAGAACGTATAAATGTTAACACAGTACGTAACCTTGATTGAGTATTACGTCAGTTTGTGATACAAAAAACGAGTGCATATAGAAACTTTTGTTTTGTTTTCTGAAGGTGAGAGATAATAAACCCTAGAAAGTTTCAGCTTTTCCATATAACAAATAAAATTAGAGTTATCATTTTTTTCTTAAAAAAAACACAAAGGTTTTCGCGATTGTTACAATTAGGAAATGAAACTATTTTTCCGGATTTAAATCGCGTATATTTGTTTTTCAAACAAATCAACGCTGACCAGTCAACCGTGATCATGGGGTGATTGTCAGAATGGCGGATGTACCTTAACAGATCCTGACAAATTTGGTATTAAAAAAATGCACGTAATTTGTACTATTTAGTACCTCTGCTTAAAAAATTTGTACATTCATCAGAACGAAGTTATAGCGATATCAAAGGTACACCCGCCATATTGACTGTCAATATGGCGGGTGTACCTCGGATTACCAGTATTTATTTAATAACTATGTGACGGTGTGACCTCCTTACACCGTCATCTCACCTTTTTGTATCGCCTCTCTCCGCCTGTATCCTATCATTTTTTTATTTTACATGTATTTAAATTTGAATTGTTCCATCTTCCTTCACTTTCTCATTTTGTTTTCGTACCACGGTCACTGGGCAACCACTGGGCATTCCTAAATTTTAATAATACCAATCGATAGAACGGGAACTTCCGAAACCAATGATATATGTAACTCATTTTCGACAAAATGTCCCTTACGTTAATTGAATTCCTAAATCTTTCGTTTATAGCATGGAAGAAGAGGAAATTCTAAGAAACTTTGCTCTAGACAATCAAAATTGGAGCAGGCAGCAAATAGTTATAGACAGATTGAAAAAAATAAAATCGTTTTTTGACTCTCTGAAAGCCGTGCTTTGTCCCTTACATTAATTGATACTTCTGGTGGCGATAGGTCAATACCTACCAGCAAATGGACGTCGGGTTCGCGCTAAAAAGTGTCCGCACCTATAGGCCGTTAAAATCGCATACAGAGCGTCAATCGCGCAACAGTCTTCGTTTGTTCGACTGACAGCGCGATTGTCAATAATGCAGTACTATAAAATACTAACGTGTAAAAATTACTGTAGTGAAGTGTAAAAACATGATTTTGTATCATGGTCTACGCAGAAACAACTTTTGCTGTACAGCCTTTGAAAATTTGAGTAAAACATTGTCTTCCCATTTCCGAAATTGTGTGCACCAGTGTACTGAACAAATAAAAAAAATGCGTATTTACAAAATAATGTAGAATATAAGTTTTGTAGGTGATTTGTAGGTAATATTATAATTCCATATTTTGTAATTTAAATATTTTCACAAACATTGCTTTAGAATGCTAAAAATCAAGCAATGGTAAAGGAAATTTAGTTCTTACCTAATATGGTTTTATAATATTACCTTTTATATGACTTTAATGCCTAATTAAGAACCTTATTATATACTCTCGAAAACGCTCTATAGTAAAAGTTACTATTCGGCACTTGATACTACTCCAGCTCGAATTAAAATTTTTCCCAAACTAAGTCTACTGCGCGGGTCGAGCAGCAAAACACTTGGTTTTACATCAGAATATTTTCTTTACAAACGAAACTAAAACATTTTGAAAAATGTATATCGTATAGAACACGTGTTCTATTTAGTTGAGTTGATATAAAAATAATCATTGGTATTTGTAAGTACCTATCGAATACACAAGTTTTCTTATAAAATTTCGAGGTAAGTTTGTGTTTATTTTCTATTGTGAAAATGTTTAGTTTACTATATATTTTTTTCAACGTGATTGATTCAACAATGTCACTGTCAATGCGGAATCAACCAAAGCCATTAGCCATTTGAGGTAGTATAGACTCATTAAGGTTCTTTACCTCTCACCTATAGAGTAGTGCATTTTGATGTCGAGAATAAACCTCTTGAGTTTTGGCACCAACATCATATATATGTACAATGAAGATTTGAAAACTTAAAGATAATCGTCTCAGGTAACGCATTTCAATTCATTGATATACATTTTCGCGTTCTGTGGTAACTACTAAACTTGTTTTATAATAACGTATGCTATTCGTTACTCCTTTGCAAAGACCTGTCCTTTTTCATCAGCCAATATAATTAGTGATCTGTAAAGTAAGTCGTAGGCCTGGGTTTAAAAGAATAAGTTTTGTTTCGAGACTATTCCATGTAAGTTTCAGGCTTAGTAATATCTCCCATCTTCTTAATCTTGGGAGCGACGTTGAACTCGCTGCCGGTGCTGACCAGAATATCTTCAATTGACACTCCATCAGCCAATTCCGTCAGTGTCAGTCCCTTTTCGCGATCTACTTCGAAGACGCACTGAAAAAGTCGGTTTTTTCATTGTGTGTCAGAAACTTCTCACAGTGTCCTTTTTTGACAAATTATAGCAACCTTCTATGTATATTGGTCATGTTTCTCATACAAATTTTAACAAATTTCAATTTAGTACTAAATGTTGAACAAATCGTGACCAAATTGTTTGTTAAGTGGTCAATAAGTTTTTTGTAAACATTAAAATATGAATTTTGATAGATTTCTCACAGATGGCGCTACGGTAAAAAGTCGTTAAAAACAAAAACAGTGATCTGCAACAAGCGCAGAGAAATTCGAAACGTCTGCGGTTCATTCTGTAGCTCAGTTGGGAGAGCGTATGACGAGGTCGCTGGTTCGAGTCCAGCCGGATTTCCTTTGACCCGGATCCTTTTTCGTTGTGTTTGACCTTTGTATTAATAATTACAATAAACTATTGGAGTAATTTGAGAAAAGTAATTGAATTATCATGGTCACCTTATTTTTTTTGTATTCAATAAACTTAATAATAAAATATCAAAATTATGTTACAATTAAGGTAATCTCTATAACCTTATTTATGCCTCGTCTACCCCTATATTCATATAACACAAAAACTAATACGACAAAACCTACGTACCTTTTCAGTAATAATCATATCGACGCAGTTTTTGCCAGTAAGAGGCAAGTTGCACTCAGGCAGAATTTTGTGCGAGCCGTTCTTGGCAGTGTGTTCCATTGTCACCACTACTTTCGTTCGGGGGGCGGACACCAGGTCCATAGCCCCGCCCATGCCTTTCACCATTTTACCCTGAAATGAGTCATATTATAAATAACCGTTTTATTTTCCCAAATACTGATCTGGCCCCCGTAGTGTGCCGCCTCGATAAAGCTATTATATCCACATTTAGCTGTCAATTTCGAGTGATAAACCAGCATTTCAAAATGTTATCGCAACAACGAACATGGCGAGCACCGTGACGTCACATTTTTATGTAATTATGTAAAAAAAAAGACTAACACAGTGCCAAACACGGCTGCAAGGTCACTGCTGATTTTAAAAGATTTGCACAGTAATTTTATCAAAGTAATAATTGAGCGCGACAAATGAAAAGACATTTTTTGTTTCGTGGCTTTCGCAGCGATGATTAAACGACAAAGGTAGCTATATACGCAATTTCATATCGTTGTCCTTGTTCTTCAAAATGTATATATAATATGTATATGTATGTATATGTAAATGTAATAGTTCATTACCAGATAAGCAAACTTAAATTTATCAACTGAATTAAGTATTGAAGGTTTATCACATATATTCTCCCATGCTACGGCCATTGGTGAATTTCTCTAGGACTATTCAGACAGTCTTGTCCTATTATGTTGGCCCCTTGTGTTATAGCGTAGAGCCACCTACGTACAACATTCAGCGAATGAATAAAGAGTATTTTAGAAAATTCAAGTAGTCAGTATAAGTCGGATGAATAATAAATACACTTACTACTGTTGGAAATAGCGAAATTAGGTAAGCCATGCCTAACTATAGTCTGTCTTTTTTGAAGATGGAGTAATTTGTTTCATTTTTTTTTTTTCATTTATTTATAAGGCACCAATAAAATACATCATAAATACATTACAATCTGGCCAAATACAAGACTAATAAGTAATTTACATTTCACTTAATCTAATAAATAAATAAATTGTACTAACAATTCACCTACTGGCAATTTTGGTAATGCTAACAAAATTGTCAGAGGATGAATAGGTGACTATTGAGGCGAAGACACTTTTATTGTGTAATCTTTTTGTTATGGAGTAAAATGGCATTCGTTACGCAGAAGTGTTACCCAAGCGGGCAAGCTGCTAGTGATTGCAGTCGATAATTATTCTATCGACAATTTTTTTTATAATATCAAGTGAAGGGAAGAACAAGTCGTGCGCCTGATGGTAAGCTGCACGTCTGACCATAACAGCCGCATTGCCTCTCGGAACTTTAAATCGCAAAGATCTGAGCGGCCCTACCGTCACCCTAAGACATAAGTTAACAAGTCCCATGTTCCTGTAGTTTCACCAGCCCTTCAAAACCGGAACACAGTAATCCTCACATTACTGCTTGGCGGCAGAAATAGGTAGGGTGGCAGTACTACCCTGGACGAACACTTTCACAAGGAGCTCTACTGCTATCGCTGCTAAATGTTGGTTATGCTTATGCATTAAATAGCCAAACCTTATTCATTTAAATCATCATCGGCACATTATTCTTACAACTGTTTGGGACAGATTTATTGATATTTAGGAAACAGGCACAGTAGAAAGAGAGCGCGTTCATGAAACGCGCGACTGCATCGATACAAACGCGCGCAATCGCCTGTAAATCCCAAGTGTAGCGATGCAATCGCGTGTTTGTATCGATGCAGTCGCGCGCTTGCATCGCGTTTGCATCGTTGCTTAAAACTGCGCGTGTGTGTAAAGGTGGACGATTAGCGACTGCATCGTACTTGTATCGCTTTTGCATTGCGTTTGCATCGCTACTAAAAGTCGCCATGTATAACAGCTCTAAATAAATTCTTTGGTAAATTGATCCCGATAAAAACAGGCCATTTCAAAGCTAAGATATAATATATCTTACTTATTACTATACTTGCCAAAAGGCAACAAAGAAACACAAATCAAATGTTTGCATGTTGACTTACAGGGATCATCCAGTTAGCCAAATCGCCGTATCGAGAAACCTGCATTGCTCCGAGAATGGTCAGATCGATGTGTCCACCACGGATCATTGCGAAACTGTCGTCAGATGAGAAGAATGACGCTCCTGGTTTGCATAAACAAAAATATCAAGCGTCTTTCCGTACCTCAGTTTGGAGAGCGATATAGAAGGAACTTTTTTTGTGTTTGTTCCATCTTATTCTCTAGAGCATTTTCACAAAAAAAGGTATTAAAAACATCATGATATTCAATTGCAAATGTACTTACTGGCAGGTAGTGACTACCACAAACAAAAAGATACCTGAGATACTAGGAAGTATGCGAGTGTTAGAAAGATAGTGAATGGTACCCCTTAGATTATATCCATGGTTTAAAATAAAAATATTAACTCTATGACTTCAAAATGTCTTTTTTCAAGCATTCACTTCCTCTGACGCTCTGCCTCGTTCAACACGTACGTTATATAATTTCATCGAGTATATAACCAAAAATAGAGATGAAATGAGGGCCATCCATCCCTGGCAACCCATCAGGTAAATGGGCCTTATGTCACTTTTAAATATCAACTCTCGTTTGCGCTAAAATCACTGAAAAACTTTAGAAAACTGAAATAGTACAGCGCCAACAACTGACCTGTGTGTACGTCTCCGTATATTCCAAAAATATTCTGTATTTATTGTAATAAAGATAATATAATATGTAAAACAATGGGGGCTGTTCCATTCAGTGGTAAGGGAAAACAGCAAAACATCTAATTACAAAACAAACGGAATCACATTTCATCGGTAAATAAGTAATTTTGCAATTTTCGTCCATTATAGCAAAGCTCAAGTTAACTGGTCGATTTGAAGTGAAACAGTTGACGACACCCGTCAATAGTTCCGAATTCGGGCTGGCCAATCGGAGCGCAGTTGTCACCGTTATGATTTGGCAGAATAGTTTTCAAACAAATTAAATGACATTTCGTCTCTATTTCTGGTAATATACTTGATGTATAATTTCCTTTATTATGTATTGTGATCAAATTCTACGATTTTATACTTAAGACTGTATTTGGACTGTATTTGTATGGAACAAATAGTAATAAAGAAATTAGCACCAAAGACGCGATTTGATTTCTGCCGCACCACTAAAATTGTTCTCTGCACGGCCACGCTGCACTTCTACAGTTCCTAGTTTCAACATATTTTAACAGCTAGATCATCATTGATGCATTATCAGAACAGAAGATCTTGCGTCTCCAGATCCTGTGATTGCGCTGATTCTCCCTCTCCTCAATCTAGAACTCAGTAGTACTGGCATTCTCATTTGCAGCAGAAATAGAAATGACTATACTAGTAAAACTATCGCTAAGAATATATTAGAAGCTATAGAAAATGATACTCGTTAGGCTAAATACCTGGTATAATAGTAACAGTTTCTTTTCCCGCATTAATCAGATCCGCGTCCACGTTGTCTTCAGTGGGGAAAGGTCCCAATCCGAGAATGCCGTTCTCGGATTGCAACAACACTTTTACGTTTTTAGGTAAATAGTTACTGGCCAACATTGGCATTCCTAAAAATATTTAAAAAAAATTTTGACAAAATACAAATTTTCCATTACCACGAGGTACACAGTAATAGAAAAAACTTAAAGCTAAACATCATCACCAAAATCAATACAATATTTTTTTTGTGATATCGAGTGACAGGACGAACAAGAGATGCGCCTGGTGGTAAGCGACACGCCTGTTCATAACAGTTCCATTGTCACTCAGAGTTGAAGTCGCAAAAATCTGAGGGGCACTGTCACTACGCCCGTCACTCTGACATAAGTTGACAAGTACATGTGTCTGTAATTTCACCAGCACCCTTACCCGAAACCGAAACACAGTAATGCTCACATTACTGCTCGGGGTCAGAAATAAGTGAGGTGGCGTACTTCCCTGAACAAACTCTTTCACCGGAAGCTCCACTGCTACTAAATCACCAAGAAATACCTCAACTTGAATGGTCCCATTATTATAGGCATAAGCTCTTTCAAAACAGAAAAACTGATCTGGAACTAAAACATTAAAGAAACTCAAAAATATACTTACCAATTCCAAGATTAGCGTGCATCCCGTCCTTAAATTCTAAAGCAGCTCTTCTAATAATCCTCTCCCTCATCACATCTGAAGCTTTCTTTTCCTTCTGACCATCATCAGGCTTAGTCACAGTCCTTCTTTCGATTCTCTTCTCAAACTTATCTCCCCTGATAACCCTATGTACAAAGATAGATGGTACGTGAACAAAATCAGGTTCAATTTCATCAACAATTTCTTCCACCTCAGCGATGGTCATTCTTGCAGCTTTGCACATAGCAGGATTAAAATTCCTAGCGCTTTTTCTGAATATGAGGTTGCCATATTTATCAGCTTTCCAGGCTTTGACGAGGGCGAAGTCACCAGTGATCGCTTCCTCCATGATGTACTCTTTGCCGTTGAATTGTTGGACGTTGCGTGGCGAACTTGCGATATCAATCTGTAACGAAAACACAGAATGAAAAGTAGTCTACCCATGTTGAATCCATGATAGGGGTGTACTATTACGCGAATGACAATAGTGAGAAGACGATAGCGCGAAAGTTTAAATACGCGATAGTTCATTTGCACGAATGGTCGTTTGCGCTAAAATATGAATGCGCGATAGTTCATTTGCGCAAATGACGATAGATAGATCTGACTCCCATGGCTGCAGGCTGTTGCAATTTTTTGCAATGCAAAGCTTTCATAATAAACTATACGTTTATTTTTGTAAAAGTTTATTAAGGTGTACTTACTTGCAACAATTAACTTGCTTTCCAGCTGTCCTCATGCATTCGTCATTCGCGCAAATGAACTATCGTGCATTCAAGCTTTAGCGTAACTGACCACTCGCGCAAATGAACTATTTTGCATTTAAGCTTTCGCGCAACCGTCTTCGCACTATCGTCAGTCGCGTGATCGGCATTAGCACTCACGTAGTACACCCGTAGTCATGGGATAGCGCAATACATTTTCTCGAAAGGAACGGTTTTTCAACTCCGTAATATAGTGTCAGAGCATGTAACACCGTGATAAGTTCTCTTAACATAGGGATGGGTTTATGCGGCTGTAGCCTGTAAAGCACAGTTATCTTCTTAGAGCGATTACACACGGCGACTTTAGCAGCGATATAAACGCACGTTTGTGAATGTGACGCGCGATTGTATCGGGACTCTTGCGATTTATAGGCGGTTGTAACAACACAAATCATTAAAAACGTGTATCGCGTTTGCATCGCGATTGTATGGCTGCTTAAGAATGTACTACCTCAGCTCGAAGTCAATTTTTTCCCGTACTAATACGGTTCATTTTGCTAAGGTCGAGCGGCAGGGGCACTGGCTTTGTTTCAGAATTTATTTTTTTACTTTACACTTTCACTGTTATGTTGAATCAACCAGAGCCATTTGAGGTTGTATAAACCCTTAAGTCGCGCGTGTGTGTAAAGGTTAGCGACTACATCGCGACAGAATCGCAATCAGATGACTGCAGGACATTATTATATTATCAATGAGATTAGCCGTCTCCAATCAATTATACTTTTGTATTATGACATAGAATTGAATAAGTTTGTCATTGGACATCAGACAAATTCTCGTTGGCATGGGGTGCTACGGACCAAGGTCCTTTCCCATATCCAAAGTGCAAACGGCAGGATATGAATAAGCAGTATTTAAAAAAAGAATACCTTTCCGTCTTTAGTATATTTGATGGGTGAGCCACCCTCGTGTATGAGGGTGCCATAACCAGTAGGAGTGAAGAAGGCAGGTATGCCAGCGCCGCCAGCTCGAATCCTTTCGGCCAATGTCCCTTGTGGTGTTAGCTCCACCTTTCAAAATGCATGCAGGTATGTAGAATGTAACAATACGTTCAACCATAAGCAAAAATATTTAAGAGCGTAAAAATAAATATGGATCCCCAAATAAATTTTCGATTTTTAATAATCAGTATGTACATGTAGGTACCTACTAAGTTTGTAGTTAGTCAGTGGGTGATGGAAAATATTTCGTTTTTTGGGTAAATTCGCATTTTTCAGAAAAATAAATATTTTTCCAAACATTTTTCCTACATTTTTCCACCCTTGACAGTTCACAGGTGTCAAAATTTATTGATACTGAACGAAAACGATGGAGCCATGACAGGACATTGGCGAAATCGCCATTTTTTTGTATAATTTTTATAATAATACTAAACTACCGTACATAGTTATTTTTACTTGACATTGGCAAAGTCATTGATTATTTCGATGGGACCATAACATTTAAAAGAAGAAGAAGAAGATGGAGACATGTTTTTCAACCCTGACGTTGGCGAAATCGTCGCGCAAACGACGGAGCCATAGATACAAAAGTTGAAGTTGAGTTGAGCCATTACAATGATGCTAAAAAAAAATACTCTTTAATCATTTAAATCTAGTTTTACTCTAACTTGTTTTTAGCCATACAACTTTATTTTATAAATTACGCTAAATAACTTCAAAAGATACATCTAAACCTATAACATATTGTGAGCCTTCGAATTATATTTTCAAAATTTTTCCGAAATTTTTTATGGTACTTATATGTATATTATTTTTTTGATTTCCACTATTTAAAATTTTTCGGAAAATTACCCAATAGTATTTGTAGTTAACTCATGCAAGTAAAATTGACAACGTTATAAAGACACCTTACCTCTAACTCCCCACTCAAAAACTGTCTTTCAAACTCAGCATTTTCTCCAACATAAGAAGAAATCATTCGCTTGATTTGTCTGCTCTTCAATAAAATACCGAGGCCAAAGTTCTCCACACCTAAACAGAAACATATCGACTGACAGAAATTTTAGTACCTTGATTTCGTCATAATTTTAATCATAGCACTCTTTTTTTCATTAAATAACCACGAGCAATAAAATCTGATTAGAGTTGACTGCAAAGTTTTAAATATTAATGGAGCTAAATAAATATCCTACCCCTAATTTTATTTAGATTATGCTGCTGTAACAACCATTTAAACTGGATTTCCAAACACATTAACAAAATAAAATAAGATTTTCATACAATTTACAGAAATAAAAAAATGAAATCAAAATAAAAAGATATTTTTCCAAACATTTTTCCATCATGTGTGTGATGGACACAAGCTTGGAGAAATATTGAAATCAGTTTGCGATGATTTCAACTCTGATTTTTCATTTTTCTCTATGTAGTCGATCACACACACAAATATCAAACAAACATGAAATAAAGATAAAATTCGAGATGAAAATAATAATAGAAAGAACATATTATTACACCAAATTAAATTTACTTGGAAGCTAATAAAGTTTTTTTATCAAGATAAAAAACCAGTTTTAAATTTCTGTTAGCGGCATGATTATACAACCCATAGCTTTTAGTAATATATTATATGTATCTACCATTCATTTATAATTAATTTATCTTATTATTTTACTTTTTAAACAAATAAATCCATTTGTTTGCACACTATACTACTTCATAATTCATCATTTAATGTCACCAAGATAAGGTCGTAATAACAAATTTGATACAAACCAGCATTATTAGAAACCACTGTAAGTCCACTAACTTGTCTCTTGTTTAATGCCTGGATTAGATTCTCTGGAATGCCGCACAGACCGAAACCTCCAACTAAAATCTTAGAGCCATCTTTGATATCGCCCACTGCTTCGTTGAAGTCTTGATAAATTTTGCCCTTTTTACTGGCTGTAGTGTAGTTAGCACAGGATACAACCTACAGAGTTGAAAAATAGTATAATGAGTAATTTATCTGCACTATGGATTGTAAGAAATTATCATTCATAGCTCTATAAAATAGCATTTAATATATACTTATTAATTAATAGTTGAAACTGAAAATGAAAAAAGACTACATTATTCAATTAATGATACTCCGAACTTTTGCCACGGCTTAGAGTAATTCAGCCAGGTTTAAAATCTATTATACCAACAATAAAAATTAGGTATGTTATGTACCTATCTATTAAATAACTATGTACACACGCCAGCACATCAATCACTTGAGGCGATTTTCGAACAAAAATGTGTAGTCTGATGTGCCGTTGTCCGTAGGTACTTAATTGGAAAAAAATATTCGTTAAGAGGTCCCGAAACTGAAGATTACCTACATAAGAAAAAGTTTTAGGTCCTTATATTTAAAGTTTTGGTAAGAGGTCCTACAAAAACAAATTGGCAAAACTACTTTTGTAGTTTCGAATTTAATAGTAGGTACCACTGAATTGAAAATATAATATATGTGCTTAATCAATTTTCCAAAACTTTATGCGTTTTAAAATAATTAACAAGAGAAAAATGTTTTATTTAAAATACTTAATTTTATAATACAAAGTAAAGGCACGTTTACCTTTCCAATAGTATAGAAGGTCTTCTTACTGGACACCGCATTAAACTTGAAAATAAAGAAGCTCCTCAAAGCTGCTGCAGCCATTGCACGTCTTGTTGATATTTATGGTTGTTTGTTGCTGCACGAGAAAACAAATGAACGTCAAAAAACAGCTGACTGTCAAACGGTTAGTCACCTATTAAGAGGGTGAATTCACCTTTACTTTGTATTTACCATCAATTCTAAAACAAAATGCAAGTTTAAATAGACTATGGGATGATGTACTGACGTAACGAAATAACGTGAATACAGCGATAATAATAAGATAAGACTGAGAATGTTGTTTGTGTCGCGCGAATCACAGCAAGGTCAGCTAGTTTGTGTTATTTGTAAATTATTAACATTCTACCAACCGGCGCACATTATGCCGGGGAGATTGTGAGAAATTGAAACAGCTAGCTCTACCATATATTAAAATAAGTAGGTAAGTAATGATCTTTTTTACTTTTTTTACAATTAGTAGGTACCTACACAAAAATATAAAATAACATATTGGCGAAACAAAAAACTTATAAAGATATAAAAATAATTTATAAGGTCGTTTCAGGTAAGTTTTTGCACTCAATTTTGGTGACAATTTTTATTAAATTTAATTTTAATTACTTTAGTATATCAGCGTGAAATATTAAAGAATATTTCAGGGTTACCACACTCGAATATTAAATAATACTTCATGATGATATTCTATAAATATTTAAATAAAAAGAAATTGTCACCAAAATTGAGTACGCAAAACTTACCTGAAAATTACCCTTTTCTAATTATGTAAATAGCATTGAAATAGTCTAAATTAGTGCAGTAAACGGAATTGAGCCGTACGTATTATAGGTGAGCCAAATCACTTACTTTGAACATGACAGCTCCCAATTTACTACGTCCGTCCGATTAACCGACTCGCCTTCAGAATGCATAATTCATTATAATATTTACATATTAAAAGTGCGAGTAAATCGTTACACCTACCAACTCCAGTCAAACAAGTTCCACGAATCAACAGAAGGGTGTTATCGCCTATTGAGTTTAAATATAAACTTGATTTTTGTTATAGAAGCCGTTGGTTTTTTCTCAGCGTCTGGCGTGGTCGACATAGTAGAAATATCGACCACACGGCACTTTATCGGTAAATGTGAAAAAGGTATAATATTAAATTTTATTTTTCGGTTACTGCTAATCATATAATATCGTTCATTTGCCGAGTACGTACTAAATAAAAAGATAAACATACTCAAAATACTTTATTCCTATAAATAACTTATTATTTACTCATCTATAATAAGTAGGTACTTAATCTTAAATGACTGTACAAATGCAATCAAAGCATTAATCTATTTAAAAAAATCTAAATTCAGCTAATTAATAATCTATTAAATGAAGAAGCTTTGGCGAATTACATTGAATGTATGAATTTATATTCATATAAAGGTACGGTCAACAGCACGGCATGCTTGACACTTAAGATTGAATTTCAATTCTATAACGCTTATGATAAAAACGGTCCTAAACCCAAAGTGTTAAGCTTGATGTGTTCTTGACTGTTATGTACAGTGTGTGATTAATATATTAGTTGAGAAATAATATAAAGAAGTTTTTCAGGGTATAACCAAGCTTGTTAAAAAAAGATAATATTTCATTACTATAAAATTTGATTTAGATCACTTACAAATTATACTATATTTTATGTAAATACACCTTGCCGGATACATTGACTCTGTTGCACGCATTTGTACAGAAAAAATATTTTGTTCAGTCTAAATGTTATTGCCAATGCTTGTAACTTTAAAAAAGCTTTTAATCTACTTTTAATACCTACCAAACCACGTACCTATACCACAGTCTTGTGTTCATCTTGATGATGACAATTGACTCATGAGTTTTAAGTTTTTGAAAAAAATAATTAAATTACTTAAGTTTTTAATAATTTTTTCTCTTAGGAGTAGTAACTATTTAATTCATATATCTAAAATAATTATTATAAGGCAACTTGGCTACTATACTAAACTCTAATTTTACATATAATTTAAGCACCTTGTGCATTTTGCACTATAAGTTTCGACATTTGTTTTAAATTACTGTTTCAAAATATATCACATAATTAATTCTACAAAAATATTGGCAAATGTTTTGTGGTGACTTAATTGTTAAAAAATTGTATCTGTAATATTTGTTATTAAATAGATAAGATTATTAACTTTTTAAACACTGATATTCGTAGTTTAATAGATAACAAGTGAAAATGCTTCATAGCGAGTTTCGATCAACGGTAAGATACCACAGTAGGCCAAATTAAACGATGACAAAATGGCGTACATTTAAATCTAAATAACACACCTTTGGACTACTGTTAGTCACAGTGTAACTAACTCATCGTTTCGCTGCACGATAGTTACATTCCTTAAATGTGTGTGATGTGTGTTCAAGCACAACTTAAAACAAGATGTTCTTCTAAACATTAAAACTTTTTAACATACAATGCAAATGTATATAACAAACGGATACCGTTTGTGATTTTGACGATGTTAAAAATACAACTTAAATATCTATAAAAATGCACATTATCGATAATAAAGCAATTTACGGCACTCTAACTACAATCTTCCAGATCTGGCGTCAGTGATCACTCCCCATAATTCGATGATGAATTCGTCCGTGAACCCAAACTCTTGAAGATCGCTGTTGTCTATAGCTTCTGCGAGCTGCATGGAGTTGTTCTTGCCTGCTGAGAGGTCCCACATTTGTGTCGCTAGATCCGTGTCATTGATCCCCATGAAAGACTCCAGCAGAGCGTTAATTTTCTCTATTCCAGCCTTGGATTTGTCGTCGTGCTGTAACATAACGAAGAATAATATTCACATGAGTTGAACATTACGTACTTATTATAATAGTTTCCTTATCAATACGCCGTTCCGCTGTTCGTTACTCGAGGTCGGGTTAATATGAGAAACATTGAACAACGATAATGAAGGATTTTAAAAGGTTGGCAGCAAATGCCAATTACGCACATTATTTTGAAAAATATACGTGCAAATGTAAAAAGGACACATCTGTGTGTGCTTTTCCGAGCCAGTAGAGTTCCTTGTGAAAGAGTTCGTCCAGGGAAGTACTGCCACCTTCCTATTTCTGCCGTCAAGCAGTAATGTCAGCATTACTGTGTTCCGGTTTTGAAGGGTAAGGCTGCTGGTGAAATTACAGGCACATGAGACTTGTCAACTTATGTCTCAGGGTGACGGGCGCAGTGGCAGTGCCCCGCAGATCGTTGCGATTTAAAGAGCTGAGTGGCACTGCAACTGTTATGGACAGACGTGTAGCTTCCCATCAAGCGCACGACGCGTCCATCCCGTCACATGATATTATAAAAAAATGTGCAAAATGACAAGGTTTTAAAAGAGAGGTTTAAAGATTTTGCAAACGAAATTAGTAAATAACTATTCATGCTTAATTAGGAGTGTTATAAAAATTCAATATAGGAATAGAACTATAGAATTAGAATGAATTTGGAAATAGAATTTTTAACGTATGATCATATGTGGCTTTATTATACCAAGGGTACGAAATGTTTATTACTTTATAAATAGCTGGTTGAAAGTATTTTTATTAATAGTCATACATTCTTCACACCCTTTATCGCAGTATACACGTATCAGAGCATAAAGAATGCCTTAAGAATCTTGAATTAGCATTAATGATGACCAAATGTTTATATCTGCTATTTTCGATCACGATCAAGTGCGTACGTCATTAACTACCACATGCTTTTTGCACGTAGTCATCCAATACCTGTTAATGCGCGTTAGGTTCCACTGTTATGATTCACAGCAAATAGTATAAGGTAATGTGTAGTTGAACGATGCATTTACCTCGTTTTCTATAGTTGCTGGACCATTAGCTTTGAATCTCAAAGTTTCTTTTCCAGAGCCATAATTTTGTTTTCTACCGGCTCTCGCACCACTCGAGTGGGGTCCTATATTTGCGAAACCACTCCTCAATGGTTCCACTAGTCTAATGGTGAATGTAGTTCCTATGGGAATTTCTTTCAATGTCTTTGCTACTTCATAGTGCCGCTTACCAACCATATTCGCTCCATTCAATTTTTCGATGTGATCACCGACCTGAAATGTAAGCAAATTAGCGTGAGCGACTTAATTCCCTAATGGTTCATTTCCTGTTCATTTCTTAACAAGGTGAACGGCCGACGACGGCATGAATAAGTCTCTGCCATTGTATTTATCTTACACTTATTGGATCAACCAACGCGTATCGTATAGGCAAGTAGATACAATGATTTTACAATGAAATTTATAAACAGCGATGTGACTCACGCCTCTTTAGAGCACGTTTGTAATACCTACTGGTGGTTTTAGTAACAGTAGAGCTCCTTGTGAAAGAGTTCGTCCAGGGAAGTACTGCCACCTTACCAATTTCTACCGCCAAGCTGTAATGTCAGCGTTACTGTGTTCCGGTTTTGAAGGGTAAAGGTGCTGGTGAAATTACAGGCACATGAGACTTGTTAACTTATGGCTCAGGGTGACGGGCGCAGTGGCAGTGCCCCTCACAACTGCTTTGGGCAGGCATGTCGTTTACCACCAAACGCACGACTTGTTCATCCTGTCACTATAAAAAAACGGTTCTGACACATATACATATCAAGTTGCCCTTAAGAGCTAAGTCGTAACTTTCATCATTTTATTCCGAATCTTATGTCAGAGAGAAATTCCAGAGTCATTTCATAGCAAGCTGAGCCACTTGTAGTTCATAATTAGTGACCACGTTTCGGGTCCATAATATGTTAAGGTACCTATGTTTAAAACTAATGGACTTGTATATGATCCAAACTGATTATTAATTTACGTATCTTTATTAGGTATAAACAATTTCTTACCCTTATATGTGAAATTCCTGATACTATCGAACCGTCTTTTATTCTTTTTATAAAGGCATATCCGGCACCATTGTCTGTGATTGTAAGCCCTAGGGAATCTTCCGTTTTGACGATTTCTATTTCTTTAGGGCGACCTTTTCTGTGTGCAAATATAAAGTCTTCTAATCCTATTTGTCCACCAAGCAGCTTCTTCATGTCCACCTTGTGGGTATTCAGTGTGCAGAACAGAATCTGAAACCATAAAAATTAATCTTCATTAGTTTGCTGTAATATGATTACCACGCCTGACGTTGCGTGACTAAGAATTATATTTGCTCGATCCAACAAATCTCGAGGTCTGTTTGGCAATTTATCTTTTTAGCATATTACCATTTTATGAATTCCTGCACCTTAGATTGTATTCTTCTACGCATAGATATAGGCATACGTAACTACTTTTTCTCATTATTATAACAAGCATCCACAGTATACGCAAACTGAATACGTAAAATATGTTAAAAACAATGGGTATTATAAAAATGAGAATGGTAACATAAACAATAAGATAAATAACAATAATTATAATATTTTTTACATAAAGAAACTGACTGCAAAAGTTTGTGGAATTACATCTATTTGCCAAATTTTATTGAAATTAGTTAACGGAAAGTAGGTGAAATCCAATAAACCGGATTCATCCCCTGATTTGCCACCTTTAGAGGTGGAATATTTTCTTCAAATTTTAACGGAACCTCTACTGAGGTACCCCCTTTCCCATAAAAAAAAGAATCACTAAAATCGGTTCACAAATGTCACACAAAAACAATACAGTCGAATTGCGAAACTCCTCCTTTTTTGAAAGTCGGTTAAAAACAATGCATATAGATTCTGAGAATGGTAACAAAAACAATGAGACCATTGACAAAAATAAAAGCTAGTGAAAATATTAAACCACTCGGTAAAGTAGTACTGCGATACAATGGAAAAGAGCAAATCTGAGTAGATCATTTGAACTTTAAAACATCATAATGGACGTCTCTAACAGTTGGCTTGAGTCGTGGTGCACGACTAATACTGACCTAGTTTCTAAAAGGAATGTGCAGCACCAATATTATATAAAAAGACAATGTAATAAGTTAGTCATAATGCCTAGTTTTAACATTAATTCTTATAAAAGTAATATTTAAATTATTCAAGTACAAAAGTAAACATAAGTCCCTCAATTAGGCTTATGTGAAATTAACAAATATATTTTTTAAATATTACCACCACTTTTCAGTAAACATGTTCATTATACACGATATAATATAGTATATGAACATATTCACATAATTAATGTTTCAAATAAGTCACTAACTTAAAAACAAAATTGAATATGAAGCATCACATATTGCGTAAATTGTCGCTTTAAACGTGTTAATTTTCATTTTGTTGTTAGGCTATTGTGTCTGGCTACCGCTGCGCTGCCTTGACACAAAATTTATTGAGTTCTGACCGTGTTTTAGCATAATTTTGTTTAAATTGCAATACGGTATGGCTCCTAATTTACACGTTCGTTACATACCGAAGATGTACAAGTACCACTCATATTGCATAGGCTATTGCGCAAAATACGGACGATTTTAAGTAGAACGTGACCGCGTAGTACAAAAAACAATAAAAAAATAAACGTTTTTATATTATATTAGTGGTACTTGGAGTCCACATTTGAAAAATGATAACTTTACAGGAGAGAGTTTTAAAGATCATGCGAACGAAATTCGTTGACATTAATGTCGATTCAGAGGGTGCAGAATGCATGTGTCATGCAGTGCCAAGAAGAAATCACATCATTCAACACCTCATATTTCATCTTTACAAGAATCAGATCCTCAGTATGCGTAACTCACGTTGTCTTAGATAAGCGTGTTTTTTACATTCTGTATTTTAAAAAGGAATGCCTATGTAGGTATCTACGCATTAAGCTTATAATGCAAACGCATGCTGAAATGCTGGGGGATTGTGCGACAGGCGTGTCATTATTAGGAAGCCGATCATGTCACTCGCTGTAGCACGTGGCGGTTACAAATGTGCCTCATAAAAATGTGGAATGACCTATCTCCGTTAAGGTAAGAGCGGAAGCGGTTATTTTATCGTTACGGTCTCCTTCTTCTTCTTTTAAATGTTATGGCCTCATCGAAGTAATACAATTATTTCGCCAATGTCAAGTTGAGGAACAGACGCGTTTTTACTCAAAAATTTACCCGTGAATTTTGACAGAAAATATAACGACAGCGAACATACACAAACTATGAAAGAAACGAATTGTTTTTTAAATAAATTTACACAGCACGTGCACAAAGGGAGACAGGACTAACGTTAGGAAGAAGTTAATATTAACGGGACGGATATCATCAGAGGAGTGACGATACGATTACAATAAAAAAACAGGTGCTAGAGGGCTTCTGCCATTCAAACGTAAATGCTCACAATGGTTATTTAACAAGCAATCACGGGATGCTGGATTGTTATAATTTCGTGGCTTGTGTTTTTAAACTGGTTTTTAATCATTTGGAATTATAATAATATTTTGCATTTTCATTATTAGTATAATATTATGCCTGTGTGTGTGCTACGTGGGGAGCACTATAAGTTTTCGGAATGAATAAGAAAAAAATACTATAAATGGTCAGAAATAAATTTAATGTTTCTCAAAATATTCTCCGTTAGCATTAATGCACTTTTTCACACGAATGAACCAATTTTGAAAACATTTATGCCACTCTTCCGTGGCAATCTATGAAACATATTTTTCATACTCTTCGACAGCCTCTTCAGGTGATAAAAATCGTTGACCGTGTAACTGGTTCTTAATTTTTGGAAATAAATAAAAGTCACAAGGTGCCAGGTTGGCACTGTACATGGGATGGCTCATAAGGTCAACGTCGTTCACCTTCAAAAATATTTTTGTCTGTGTGGCCGTGTGAGAACTGGCATTATCGTGGTGCAAGATGATACGGCGTTTACGGTTATTTTTACGGAGTTTGTCAATAAATTCCGGCAAACAAATAGTCGTGTACCAATCACTATTCACGGTATAACGATTCTCCAAAGCAACAGTAACCACGTATCCAGTTTTATTAAAAAAGAAGCAATCATCCGCTTAGAGGCACTTTACACGCGCGCCACTTTGGTTGGTTTCGGCTCATCTCGAAAGACCCATACGCTCTATTACTGCTTTGTTTTCGGATCATAACTATAAATCCATTTTTCGTCACTTGTTACTATGTCCCACACAAACCAAACCAAATTTGACGCCCCTTCGTTGAATTTGGTAAGCATGGCATTGCACCAAGTGACACGATCCGTTTTTTGAGCCTCAGTCAAATTGTGTGGGCACCACCGAGAGCACAGCTTTTTCACACCCAAATGTTTGTGTAGTATTGATTGTATTTGACTCATGCCTGTGCTTTGTGATTGTATTTGACTCATGCTGTGTGATGCCCGAATCTCATGGTATGTTACATGCCTGTCTGTTTTAATCATACGGCGCACAGCATCGATGTTTTTGTTGTTCTCAGCAGTGGACGGGCGACCATCACGAAATTCGTCACTGAGATTCACACGACCGCGTTTCAATTCTGTAAACCAGCTATATATAGTCGTCTTGCATGGTGCTTCATCGCTAAAAGCAGTTTGAAGCCGAGGGAAGCTCCGCTAAGCTGTTAAATTACATTTAAAGTCGTAGAATATCATACTACGAAAATTTTCACGAGTTAAATCCATGGTGATGTAGAAACCAATTTCTAAAATGACGCCACAATGCAAAAACAACAGACAGTCAGATGAAACAAACTATATTCTACAGCCAAAGAGTTCCATTTTCAAATGTTGTAATTACTTTTTAAATATTGTTTATGCAAGTGGCCAGTTCCGGAAACTTATAGTGCGCCCTATGTATATGATTAATTATAAATATTTATGTATAAGTATGTTCCTGACCATTAAGGGCTATGGCAAAATATCAGCGAGGACAATGTTGTACGTTGTACCTATTTCATTGTCCTCTGTAGTTGAGTCATAGACCGATTTGACGTGTTTTTTTTTATTATTATTAATTTGCATAATCTTTTCTTTATGTTGTATTGGATGTCAAATAAAACATTTTATTCTTATTTTATCAAAAAAGGAGGAGGTTCTCAATTCGACTGTATGTTTTTTTTTCTATGTATGTTGCGCGATAACTCCGGTACTTGTGAACCGATTTTCATGATTCTTTTTTGTTGGAAAGGGGGTACTTACATAGTGGTCCCATTTCATTTTGAAGGAAATCATCCACCTCTAAG